TAGAATTAACAAGCAGAACCCAAAATGGAGGACAAATTTATTAAGTACAGTGTCCTAAAGGAGTAAAAAATGGGGACAAACAGCATCTTGGGGTTGATTAAACAGCAGCTAAGCTGGTTCTCCTAACAGCTCCTACATCCACCACAACTGTAATTCAAATAAGCAGACAACAAAGAGAAAGAGAAATGAATGAAAGAGATGACCCAGATGATAAAGAAAAAAGGTAAATGTCCTATGTAACAAATCTGTACATCCTGCACATGTACCCCAGAACTTAAAAACAAAAAAAAGAATAAAGGTAAATGGGGGTTTCTTCATCCTGAAGCCAAGTGAGGCAGAATCTCCAGGGACTCACTCACCCAGAGGAAAGGAGGTCACTCCCCTACTCCCTGGCAGAGTGATTCTGAGGCTAGAGCACCCAAGAAGGTGCTCCTACCATTAGAATAAAATGATGGTCTTTGTGAGGGAGCATGATATGTGTTCAGGGGCATATATGAACTTGGACACTTTGGCCTGCTTCTGGACCACATATTTTCAAAGAAAGAAGCCATGCTAGAGCAGCTGTTCCTACAAGGCAAAAATGGACATGTCATAGTGTGTCTGAGATGATAATGGGCAGCAATGCCACACACAGTCCCCTCACACTCTCTAGGGGCATGAAGAACAGCAAAGAGGTTCCCAGGAGTCCATGTGAAAAAGCACAGAGGTGAAGACATGAGATCTAGAGCTGCCAGTCCCTCCACTAAGAATGAAGGCTGGCACCACAGCCCTGAAGAAGCCCAAAGATGGCCTACTCCTTTGAAGCCCAAGCACTCCCAAGGAAACAATATTCACTATCACCAGAAAACACCACATGAATGGAAGCCACCAGCAATGGGCAGACTAATCTCAGCCCATGCAAGACCAGGCTGCCTTCCCAACACCAAAGGCAGCCGGTTATATAATTCAAGAATGCAACTTTCAGCAAAACTCAGTGGCTCAGCCTGTAATCCCAGCACTTTGGGAGGCCGAGGCAGGAGGATCGCCTGAGGTCAGGAGTTCGAGACCAGCCTGATCAACGTGGAGAAACCCCCGTCTCTACTAAAAATACAAAATTAGCTGGGTGTGGTGGTGCATGCCTATAACTTCAGCTGCTCAGGAGGCTGAGGCAGGAGAATTGCCTCAACACGGGAGGCAGAGGTTGTGGTGAGCTGAGATCGGCCACTGCACTCTAGACTGGGCAACAAGAGTTGCAAAACTGTCAAAAAAAAAAAAAAAACCTAAATTCTCCTGTCTTTCCTTCCAGTTCGCTCAATATACCTTAGGACCCAACAAGAACCCCAAAAAAGGAAGGGGAGGAGGTGACCCAGTAGCAAACCATTCTCTTCTGATCGTGCCATCTTTTCTTCCAACTGAGAAAAGGAGAAAAGGAGTCTTTGAGGCCTAAGCTTGGCTAGTGCTGGGGAAAGGGAAGGAGCTATCCATGGAATTGGATATGACATCAATGCTTCACTCTGAGCCAGACATAGTGTTTAATTACTGAAAGTGACTGGAAAAATGGGATAAGTACAAGGCATTATTAGGCAATGTGAAGAGGAGACTCACTGTGGCACAGCAGAAGTAGTGAGTTCACAATGTTCAATAAACTAGTTATACATGTTTAATGCGCTTTCTACCACAATCATGGAAGGGATTTATATTTGTTTCTGTTTTGTTAGGTTTCAAACTCTATGGCTGATCACCTTTAATTTGGTCATATCAAATATTTTTGGGGATTCAGCATATAAATGATAAATTCTTAAGTCCCAGGCAAGACCCTTAATCTGCTCCTCTGTTAGGGCCTTATGTATTTTGTGAACATGTCTAATTTTCCCCCTTAAACTGTAACCTCTTTGAGTGCAAAGTCTGATGTATATTATTATCTCTAAAGGACCAATGTTGTGCTTTGCACACAGAGGGTTATCAATATTAATAGAAAAAATTATCTGTTTGCATATTTGCTATTTCAAAGTGAATATGAGAAAAAAAAAATTTGCTTACACTTTTGTTTAAGAGGGATCTGAGTGATGAGTCACTTAGTCCCAGAATTATAACCTATAGAAGGTCTTGCATCCTGGTAGACCAGCAGTTAACTGAAATTATTGTGTTAAATATTTACAATCCACTCCAACACATAAGGCTTCCAACTTACTCTACATTTAGAAAAATGCCTCCAAATTAGTTTTAATTGGGAAAACCTTGGCGTTTAAGACAATTATCTCTATTATCAACTTCTCAAAAATCTAATTCATCTAAAGCTGCAGCATGAAAATGTTAATCATCCTTAGTTATCCTTATGACTAATGATCAACATGAGAAAGTGCTCATTCTTATAAATTATCATTCTTATTGCATGTATCAAAGTTAAATCTAAAACTAGAGAAAATTAAGGTCAGTTTCCTCGTCTCTTAGGAGGAATGTAAATTATATTTACTTAAGTTGAACAAGAACAGTTGCCCAAACAAGTTGTACACACATAAACAGCCTGAAAGTCATCTGAACGTCACGTTATGTAATCTTACTTTCAAATTTCTGAATGGAAATTCTACAGGACATAAAAATTAAGGCCCAATGTTATTTTAGATGCATAAAGAATTATTTTATAATTCCATATTTTAACATAGGAAATTATCCAGTCTAGATTTTTTTTTTAAAAAAAAGTCTTTCCCAAACCAAAATCTACAAGGAAAAGTAACATATGCAGCATTAATTTTTTTTCTCATACTTATGTTTACTCCAAATTGCATTTTAAACATCAAATTTTGGGCCAAGTGTGGTGGCTCATGCTTGTAATCCCAGCACTTTGTGAGGCCAAGGCAGGAGGATCACTTGAGGGCAGGATTTCAAGACCAGTCTGGGTAACCTAGTGAGATCTTATGTCCAAAAAAAAATCTACAAAATTTGCTGGGAGTGGTGGTACATGCCTATAGCCTCTCTACTCAGGAGCCTAAGGCAGGAGGATTGCTTCAGCCCAGAGATCTGGGGCTTCAGTAAGCCAAGATTGTGCCACTGCATGCCAACCTGGGCGACAGAGCAAGATCCCATCTCAAAAAACAAACAAAAATCAATTTATTAATTATGTAAGTATCTCTTATGATTCCTTCCTAGAAACATACACGTAAAATATGTTACATGGTTGCAAATGTTATTATATATATAAAGAGACTTGACCTAAAGGAGCATATGAGTTAGTAGATATTTGTATCATTGTATATTTAGTGAAAATATCAAAAGTCTAAAATTTAAATTAGGAACTCAACTCATAATAGAAAAATTCAATTTTTGTACCCTATTTCTTTTTTAAAATCACTATATATTCAAAAAATCACTTAAGAAAGGATGAATTCAACTATTTTCAAGGATAAAAAAAGTTGAAAGGAGAAAATAACGTGAAAAATAAGTCAGCTGTTATACAACAGCAGCCTACACTAAAATTGAGTCATTCTACTTGAGTGTTTAAGAATTCTGATTAGAAGTAAGGCAAAATACCTGTCTTTTTCACTGTTGTTTGTTTGTTGTTGTGTTTATAAAAGAAGTGTTCAGTGAGTTGCCATGATTGGGCTTAATATTTTGCTCTAAGCTTTCTGGCAGCTAAGAAGGAGTGAAAATTTGAGAGACTGTTACCTTAACCTCACCAGTGGAATGATGACAGTACTTTCTTCAAAGAGACATTGCAAGAACACCCTGAGAAAATGTAGGTGAAGTGTTGGGCATTGTGCCTGATGCATGGGAGATGACTAAGGATGTGATCTAATATTACTCGATACAAGGAAAAGACAGGTGATGTTTCTCAAAGATGGCATGGTTAATGCTAGTACCAAATCCTAGGAGAAATTTCCTACATGGATCATGTAATAGGGACTTAAATGAGAGTCACTTCATTAAACTTGACTGCAGAAAAGTTTGAATTACAAAGATGGTTTCTTTTAGAGAACGCTCACTGCGTTAGTGCACACAGTGTCTTGCACATAACAGTCATGTTTTATTGATCTTTTTACAAAGTAATTCTCTTCAATAAATATTCCTGGGCATCAAAGCTTTCTCTTTTTCCTCCAGTCCGTTCTCAGCCTATAAATGTCCAATGAGCTATGGTCAATTTTCTCCTCCTTAACTCCTCCAACTACCTGTCAAGGGAAAAAAAAATCCTAAATTCCCAGTCTCTGCCACCTACCATAATAGAGCACATCAAGTGATCTGAAGCTGAGAAAGGGAGCACAGTAAATACAAATGACATCATTCCTATTGTCTTGCAAGTTGAAATACTATCTTTTCTCTCTAATAAAAAAGGAATGAGAATTTGAGTGAATCTCAACTTTCTGATGTTCCCCTTCCCTTTCACTATCTTTATAGCCAGGTTCAAACTTCCTACCCTGCTTTCTCCCTACACCCTTGCACCCACCACATTCAGGGTTTGTGCCCACCACCTCTCCACTGAAACTGTTCTTGCTTTGCAAGGTCTCACATGACTTCTAATTACCAAACATTATAGACACTTCAATTTCTGCATTTTTTACAAACCTCAATATATATATTTTGGACTATATTCTCTTTCTTGAAATTTTCTTTTCTTTTGATTTGTAGGACATCACAAATTCATGCTTGTCCTCTTCCTGGCAATTTTCTCTCTCTCTTCCTTTTCAGGTCCATATTCTTCATCTAACTCTTAAGTGTTGATGTTCTCAGGCATAGCATCACTGGTTCCTTCTTTCACTTTCACATTTTTTTCTTGGGAAATTCACCCCTATGCATTCTTCGGCTACCTCCCCCTGCCCAAAAAATCAATCCCTGGGCCATCAAATCTACAGCAGTAGGACATGGACTATCCTTAAGAGGTGTGCACTTAGATACAGCTGTGGACAAGAGGAGAGTAAAAATGACTAAATCCCAAAGGATATAGTCAGACATCACAGAGAACATGGGACTAGGGAATTACCAGAAAGCAAAGCCAGGAGATACCAGATAAACTAAATCCAGGACCTTTTCTAGTGCCAGAGAAGAGTGTCTTCATAATTTTCATAATTCCTGTCCTACAGATTTTGATAACTGCTATGGATAGTGACTCCTATGCATTTCTTATCTCCCAGAAGTTATTCTGCTCCTCCTGTACCACTGTATTTTTAGCACTTATGGGGCAGATGGAACATCTTTTAGTTTGTAGGTCACCAGACCACAAAGCGCTACATCTGGCCCTGATGGAGAACAAACCGGCATACCCAAAGGTCAAGGACTCTGAGTAGATGAGTAATTTTACAGTATTTGGCAGTTGCTTTCTTTATGGAGTGGCTGATGTTGTACTTGTGTGAACAGAAGTGTGTAAGGGTGCTGATGGATGTTTGGGAATGCACAACTTATCCTGCAATATCCATTTTCCCCTTTTTCAGTAGTGATCAAGCCTCCAATTTAGGGCACATGTCTTCCCAGAATGTAAACTACAGCTCCCACTTTTCCTTTCCAGCTAGCTTTAGCCATATGACTAAATGCGGGCCAATTGGATGGTAAGCTCAAGTGTTTATATAGCAGCTTCTTGAAATCTTTTTGATGAGATAGAGATACATGCCATTTGCTCTTCTTTCTCTCTTCCTTTAACCTGCTGTCTGGAACTTGGATGCCACCATCCATAAAAGGTAATAAGATATATTCTTTAAAAAATTGTCCTTAATGTTATAGGGCACCATACAGTCCTCAAGGGCCAATCCAGATTTTTATGCACAGCTAAAGCAAACTTCTATCTCATTTTAGTTTCTATGAATTGGAATGTTCTATAACTTAGGGTAAAACCTAATCCCAATTGACACAGGTATATGAAATCAAGACACTTTCTGGCTTGGGCAACTAACTACATGAATGGTGGTATCACTCACTAAGACAGGAGAGGGCAAGTTTGAGTGAAAGATTCAATTTTGTACATGCTGAGTATGGGGTATCCGTGAAAATCCAAGACACTACAAGGTCTAAAGTTGTAAATATAATCTAACATTCAGAGGAAATTTTTCAGAAGAGGAATTTAGGCAAGAACAAAAAAATATGAGAATCCATAACATCCAAACTTACATAAAATCTCAAGAATGGATAATTTTATCCGAGGAAACTACAGAGTAGATGGGCATCCATAATACAAACTTGAAAACATTATTTCAAGCCTATATATCTCTGTCATTTCTCATATTCTGGCTTTCACTCTTGTGTTGAGTCGGTATACGCAGTATTTGAACTGAGCTAATCTATCAGATCTGACCCTGCCTCTCAGGAATAACCAGTGAAAAACACTGCTCTAATTAAGTCAGAGGAAAGTTCACAGGCTTGTCCAAATCTTATTCATACTATTTATAGTCCAAGAAACAGAGCTAGATTAGGGTAAAATAGGCTTTTCTGATTCATTCAGTAACTAAAAAAATAAAAAATATATAAAATGTCAGGATAGAAAGGGCCCTTGGGTCCTTCCAAACCCACACACCACCAAAAATGTTACCACTACATAAGGATTATGTATCATAAATACAATTTATTTAATAAGAATCCTAAATGAATGGATACAAGGGCTATTCCTAAAACACTGAAAGAATTTTTTTAAAAACTATTTCAGGAAATAATTTAGTAAATGCAAAAGTGTTATTTCAAGTACTTCTCATGTAGTCTCAAGATAAATCTTCTCCATCTCTGATATTTATAAAAACAAACTCACAGATGATATTCTGACACCAGCAAGGAGGTTTAGTTTAAACATTAAGAACCACCTTTGACTGCAAGGTCATTCAAACATTGCTAAAGTTTACTGAAGGAGTTTATGGAATCTCCCTCAGCGGTTTTTAAGAATCAGACATTCATTTATAGGAATTAGTTTAAGATAACTTGAATGTACTCCTTTGGCAGCAAAGAGTTGAACCACAAGATTGTTGGTCTACGGCACTATTTCCTGGCAGGAAATTGAAGGTGGGAAAAGAAAATAACAGTGAGTTTGAAGTTTAGGGTTTTATTATTTAAATCATTTCCTCATATTTAATGAGCTCCAAGTTTCACCATTTATGGCATTTAAATATATTCAAGACCCTGGGATATTTCTCATGCCCTTGCCAAATGGTATTACTTAATTTCTGACTAATTTATACTCAGGATTTATCTGAAGCAAGCATAATGTCTTGGTTCTGGCTCCAACTTTATAACTTCCAGTCAAGAAAGAGAACCACAAGACTGAACCACCACAGTGAACTAACCTCTATTGTTCAAGGACATCTTGGCTGGCCCAGACACTCTGATACTTGAAACTAGTATTTGAAGTCATACGGAGGAGCCACCTCTGTGGTTTGGAAGCAGTTCAATTTCCAATGAAACAAATCTATGCAGTCAACTTTTGATGAGTGGATTAATGAGGTGGAGAAAGGTAATGACTGAATCCCAAATCATAGATAAATCAAAACTGCAATTAAGCATGGTTAACCCACGCCCAAGTCATCACCTTAATGCTCTAATAATGAAATAATATATATAAAACAGTAAAGGGAAACTGACTCAAAGACTCAAAATGCAACCTTGGAAGTCAAGGCTATCAAGTGCAAAGTTTACAGAAGAGTGCCGTACTATGTTCTACATCCTTATTTTTTTCTCTGAAGAAAAACTGGAATACAGAATTTCTCTCCAAAGCGGTTCAGGAGAAAAAGTCACTTTAAGTCTCCAACAACATTGTGATTTAGCAACAAAGTATTTGTTGAGCAAATTATTATACGACTGAAATAAACACTCACGGATGACTGCTACAAATGACACCATTTTAAGATTCATAAAATGCCTGGTAAGTGAAATATTTATCTCAGCGTTCCTCTTCTAAAAACAGGGGACTACTTCCACTCAGTAACTCCAGCCCGAGACCACAGGAAGTAAAATGAACAATGCTCCTTTGAGCAGGGATGACGAGGCTGCTGCCACAGGCATTTATAACCGATGATTAAAACATATGGGCATTGTGGCCAAAGTATCATGATCCTCAAAGGTTTCCATCTAGAACATCGGCAAACAAAATGTAACTTCATAGATGGAAAGAGACTAACACTAGATGGTCTTTTTTTATATATAAAGTAGGGATATGAGGAATGAGTGCATGGGGCTGGCTTATCTGAGACCCAGCAAGCAGTTGATAACCTGGGGTCCGCATGTAAAAGCCTGTGATCAAATTCCCAGATCTTCCATTTTCTGTGTGTGTACCTTTGAGCAAGTCCTTTATTCTCCCTAAGGCTTAGTTTTCTCATTAAAAAGAATAAAGAGAAGGAGGAAGAGGGAGGAAAAAGTCTGTATGATACTCACCGTAATAGACTGTTGGGTTATATGTAACCCTAAGGAAGCACTGGTGAAGCCTAATATTTTCTGAGAAACCACCATGCTCCATTGCTATCTCATAATTAGTAGGTAGAAAGAGACTAACACCAGACAGTCTTCTTTTATAAAGAAGGGAATTCTTAATGGATTGTTGAAAGGATAAAAAGATCAATTACATGAAAGTTCTTTGCAAAGTACAGAATTATGCAGAAAATAAGAAATTACCATGTTTATTATTTCATTGTTGTTACTTGAGTAATTATCAATTTGATGTCCTCTTAAGTACCACCCAGCTCTCTCCCAAAATTCACATGGAAGTTGGAATCATAAAACACTTTCTAATGTAGAATGAAGACAACAACACTTAAAAGACAAAGAGAGCTACAGACAGATGGTCCTGACTACTGATAGTTGGACTGTAAGTGGGTTTGCCAGGTGTAACCCCATTGTAAGTCAAGGAGCATTTGTATTCACAATCCATAGCTCACATGTATACAGGGTGTGCTAAGCACAAGCCCAGAACACATAACACTGTTTATAATATATATATTATCTCATACTTAATCTATAATTAGTCCGACAAGTTGTGTAAAAAGGTGAAGTATTTTTATAATAACTAGATGCATAGTGGTTATATCAAATAATTTGTCTAACAACTGCCTGAAATATTTTTGGATGGCAGTCAATTCTCTTCCTGTCATACTCTATACAGTAATTATCACCTTCCCTGAGATTACCAAAACCAAAGCCTCATCTAAAAACTCATTTAATACTAAAATGTATTGTAAAAATAAGATTTATTGTGCACCTATCATGGGCGAGGCAATTTACACATAACTCTGTGGATAGATGCACTAGTGAAGCCTCATGCTTTCTGAGAAATCACCATGCTCCAGGGGCTGTAATAAGTAATTTACATATGCTACCTCATAATTCTGACAGCAGTAATAAAAAAATACCTATTTTTTCAGATGAGAAACGTAAGCCTCAGTAAGATTAAGGCTTATGTAAATTTTAGAAACCCAAAGGATTATAAATCTTTCTATTATAAAGACACATGCACACATGTTTATTGCAGCACTGTTCACAATAACAAAGACTTGGAACCAACCCAAACGCCCATCAATGATAGAGTGGATAAAGAAAATGTGGCACATATACACCATGGAATACTATGCAGCCATAAAAAAATAAGTTCATATCCTTTGCAGGGACATGGTGAAGCTGGAAACTATCATTCTCAGCAAACTGACACAAGAACAGAAAACCAAACATAGCATGTTCACACTCATAAGTAGGTGTTGAACAATGAGAACACATGGGCACAGGGAGGAGAACATCACACACTGGGGTCTGTTGGGGGGTGGGGGAGGCGCTAGGGGAGGGACAGCATGGACTGGGGAGATTGGGGAGGATAACATTAGGAGAAATACCTAATGTAGGTGACGGGGTGACGGATGCAGCAAACCACCATGGCATGTGTATAAATATGTAATAATCCTGCATGATCTGCACATGTACCCCAGAACTTAAAGTATAATAACATTAAAAAGAAAAAGACTTACCCAAATTCATACAACAGGTTGCAAATTTGAGATTTCAGCAAACCAACTTTCTCATTCCAAACTTGTTTAAGTATTAACCAGTTAATTTGTATGGAAGAAATAAGATTCAC